CACATACATTTTTTTAATTATGTTTTATTTCCCAAAGTAAACTACATCATCCACTTAATTTGTTTCTGTTCTCATATCACTCAATATTATGAAACAACCTATTGGGGGGAAAAAGTAACAAGAATTTCCACAAAAATTTCTTGCAGCTTCATTTGTTGTTGCTAAGTGCTGTTGAATAGGTTCCTACTCTTAGTAACCCTATATTGAGTTTCCAAGGAAGGACTGGTGGGTTTGAACTGCCAACATTGTGGTTTCCAGTATGATGCTTATCCTACAGCACCACACCAGCTCAACTTAACTGGACCTTTTCATTTATTTAGTAAGTATTCATTCCTAATTTAATCATCACATTCCTTATAGTACCTAATCCCAACATTGTTTTCTACTATTCTTTTTCCCAGAATCTGAGTATCTTCATTCTCTGAAGATCATTTTGCCATGTATTTAGAAGATTAAGGGAACTCCATTAATATCTCACATCTCTGGAAGAAACTTTCACTAGCTTCATCTATTCTTTTCCAGCTATGGCCTTGATCCCATCCCCACCTTCTTCCTCTGTATCCTTTCCCTATGGATTAATTGATTTTCCTTGTGTCTTGAGTGTGTCAGTTTGTCATGCTGTGGTAGCTTGTGAGTTGCTGTGATTCTGAAAGCTATGCCACCGGTATTTTAAATACCAGCAGGGTCACCCATGGTGGACAGGTTTCAGATGAGCTTCCAGATGAAGAAAGACTAGGAAGAAGGAGTGATGGAACCACTTCTGAATATTTAGTCACTGAAAACCTTATAAATAGCAGAGAAACACTGTTAGGTATAGTGCCAGAAAATAAGCCCCTCAGGTTAGAAGGCACTCAAAATGTGACTGGGGAAGAACTGCCTCGTAAGAGTAGAGTTGACCGTGATGGTGCAAATGGAGTAAAGCCTGTGGGAAAAAAGCCTGCGGGACCTTCATTTGCTGATGGGACACAGCTCAAGATAAAGAGAAACAGCTGTAAACATCCACTGAAAATCGGAACATGGAATATATGAAGCATGAATCTGGGAAAACTGGACGTTGTCAAAAATGAAATGGAATGCACAAACATCAATATCTTAGGCATTAGTGAGCTGAAATGGATTGCTATTGGCCATTGTGAACCTGATGATCACATGGTTTACCATGCTGGAAATGAGAAATTGAAGAGGAATTGTGTTACAATCATTATCAAAAAGAACATATCCAGATCAGTCATGAGGTACAATGCTGTCTATGACAGAATACTATCCATGTGCCTACAGGGAGCAAATAATACGAGAAGCTGGGTTCTATTAAAAAAACTGTGGCATCAGGATTGGAGGAAGACTCATTAACAACCTGCAATATGCAGATGTTAAAACCTTGCTTGCTGAAAGTGAAGAGGAGTTAAAACATTTACTGATGAAGATCAAAGAGCACAGCTTTCAGTATGGATTACATCTCAATGTCAAGAAGACAAAAATCCTCACCACTGGACCAATAAACAACATTCTTATCAATGGAGAAAAGATTGAAGTTGTCAAGGACTTCAATTCTTCTTGAATCAACTATCAACACTCATGGAAGCATCAGTCAAGATATCAAAGGACGTATTGCATTAGGCAAATCTGTTGCACAAGACCTTTTTAAAGTGTTGAAGAGCAAAGATGTCAGCTTGAGGACTAAGGTGTGCCTGACCCAAGCCATGGTATTTTCAATAACCCAGTTCTGGTAGCGTAGTGGTTATGCATCGGGCTGTGAATCGCAAGGTCAGCTGTTCGAAACTATCAGCTGTTCCACAGGAGTAAGACGAGGCTTTCTGCTCATGTAAAGATTTATAGCCTCGGAAACCCTGTACAGGGTTGCTATGAGTCGGAACGGACCCCAAGGCACATCACCTCCACCACCATATGCATGCGAAAGCTGGACAGTAAGGAAGACCATAGAAGAATTGATACTTTTGAGTTATGGTGTTAGAGAAGAATATTGAAAGTGCCATGGATACCAAAAGAACCAATAGATCCATTTTGGAAGAAATGCAGTCTTGAAGGCCTAAATGGCCAAACTTCATCTCTCATAACTGTGACATATTGTCAGGAGGGACCAGTAATGGAGAAGGATATCATGTTTGGTAAGGCAGAGGGTCAGAGAAAAAGAGGAAGACCCCCAATGAGATGGATTGGCCAAGTGACAGCATCAATGGACTCAAGTGTGGCACAGTCATGTGGTTGGCCCAGGATCGGGCAACGTTTCCCCCTATCTACTTTGTTCTTCCATCCCCCTCCCCCTTCTTGTGTATTGCCTTCCACAACACCAGAATTCCCACATGCCTTTAAAGTGTTTTTTGTTTTTTTTCTACTATGTGATACTTAACTTGAAGTAATTTAGTTTTTATCAGTACTACTCCACTGAAAGAAGCCTGGTAGCATAGTGAATTACGAGCTGGGCTGCTAACCACAACATCAGAAGATGGAGTGTACTAGTCGTTAAGGGGAGAAGAATTAGGCTTTCTGCTCCCATAAAGATGTACACCCTCAAAAACCCTATGTTGTTGTTATTAAATGCTGTTGAGTTCATTCTAACTCATAGCAACCTTCAGAGTGACCCTGTATATGGTTGCCAAAAAGCAACTGGTAGGTTTGAACCACCAACTTTGTAGTTCAAACCAATCTTGTGGTCATGTACTTATTCTATAGTGCACACCAGAACTCTTCACACAGGGTCACTATGAGTTGGACATGACTCCCTGGTATACAAGCACCACCACTGCTACCACTACATTGAAAGGAACTTTGGTGGCAGAATAATTAAGCCCTGATATGCTAACTGAAAGACTGGCAGTTTAAACCCATCTACCAGTTCTGGTGTGGCACTGGGAGTTAACGCACAAGACTACAAAGCTGTTTATACTGTTTTGTATACAGTGTTTCAAGCTCACCAGCTGCTCCTCGGAAACCCTATACATGGACGTCATGGGTCAGAACTGACTCTACGGCACTTAACAACAACAAACCAGATCCATGGGAGAAATATGTGGCAATCTGCTCCAGTAAAACTTACTGGTGGAAAACCCTCTGGGGTAGTTATACTTTGACACAAAGGGTTATCCAATTAGTTGCACCTAATAACAACTCCAGAGTCCTGGTGTGGCGCTGTGGGTTAATGCACCAGACAGCAAAGCCTTCTGAACTGCAAGGCTGGTGGTTCAAGCTCACCAGCTCCTCCTTGGAAACCCTATACAGGGTCGCTATCGGTCATAATCGACTCGACGGCATTTAACAACAACAGTAACAACTCCATTGAAATCAACTGGTATGTAATCTACTGGTAACCAAACCTCATAACTTTTTCTCAATTACTCTGTTGTTTATTGTTAGGTGCTGGCAAGTTTTTGTTTGCTTTGTTTCTTTACATTACATTGCAATCCATACTGAATGAAGTCAGTATTCTTTGATCCTCATCAGCAAATACTTCAAGTCCTCTTCACTTTCAGCAAGAAAGGTTGTATAATCTGCATATATAATCTCACTGTTAATGAACCTTCCTTCCTCCAGTCCTGACACCATGTTCTTCTTCATACAGCCCAGCTTCTTGAATTATTTGCTCAGCATACAGACTGAATAAATATGTTGAAAGAATTCAACCCTGACACACACACTTTGTAGGATTTGACAAACACTATTTTTCTGGAAATTAATCTTCTTTCTGCATATCTTGTTTAACTATAATCTTGAGCTTTTCTCTGCCTCCTAGCTGTAATTTTCCTTGTCCAATCTTTTTATTATGGATAGCCCACAAGGAACTTTTCTCCATGCTCTCTCTATTCAAGGGAGCTTCAAAGAGTTTGTGAAAAAATTGGAGTTGAAAGTTGGATAAGGACCACTGGTGGCACAGTGGTTAAGTGCTGTGATGCTAATCAAAAGATTGGTGGTTTAAGCCCACCAGTTAGTCCTCATGGAGAAAGATGTGACAATTTGCTCCCCTAAAGATTTACTACCTTGGAAACCCTATGGGGAAGGTCTACTATGTCTATAGAGTTGCTGATTTGGAATCAACTTGCCTGCAACAGGTTTGTTTTGTGTTTGTTTTTTTTTACTTCTCTCTCTGTTTCATGTTTTGGAAAATTTCATATTTTTATGCATGTTTTCTGTGTGAATAGCTTACAAATTTTAACTGAATTCCAAGTCTGTTTCCTCTTATAGCTGGACTGATTCATATTTAAATTCTGCTTGTGTGTCAAACTCAATAGGCACAAAACAGAGACCATTTTTCTCCTCCCCTAACTTGCTTTTCCTGACTTCTCTTTTTCTGTAATTGAGAACACCATCTTTGGGGCCACCCAGAATAAAATATTGAAATCAGTGTATTAATGAGCAACTGTTGCACAATCTTACTGAAGACTTTCTGGAAGATAATACATAGTGAGCCTTAGTGAAAAAGCTGAGTGTTTATCCACCAACTCTCACCCGTAATTGTTTAAGCCTGCTTTCTAGCATTCTAGCTGTTCTGCCTTTGGTGGAGTCTAATACTGGTCTACTGCAGGTTAGAAAAGGTAGAGAATCACAGATGCTGGTGGTAGAAAGTTGTTGTCATATTGGAATTAAGGCACACATAACAGTATATTTCATAAGTTCTCCAGTGACAGTCATTACTTTCTATCTCAGTCATATTGGTTCACTAGAGTCTAATGATTGAGAAATAACATCTTTTTCAAAAATATTTTATTTTCAAAATAAACTCACAAACATCAAATGGTGATGTGTATACATTTTTATTTTTTCTGATAAGTAGGATCTGATAGGCCAAATGGCTAAATAAAGGGAGGGGAACTGACTTAAACATGAGATGGTTAAAATACTTAAGGGATACTTTTTCAAACTGGTTGATTTTTAAATATATACATTTATTTAAAAATTTTAATTACAGCTAATTTAAAAGTATTGCAATTTTAAAATACAATTTCCAAACCTGAAGTTTACCTAACTGATGTCTGTATTACCCATAGCCAGCAATGATAAGACGTCCACCAACTATTGTTTGCTACATTTGCGGTCGCGAATATGGAACAAAATCTATAAGTATCCATGAGCCTCAATGTCTTAAAAAATGGCATAATGAAAACAACTTGTTACCTAAGGAGCTAAGGAGACCAGAACCAAAAAAACCAGAAGTCAGGGCCATTACTGGTAAGTTCCTGGAGAAGAGAAGATTTGGAAGTATTTTATGTTTTTCTCTTTAAACTTACAAAAGTAAAGGTATTCTTTCTAACCTGTTCAAACAACTAAAATCAGCAACATGTATTATCTTGACAATAGCTAAATAGGAAGACAAATTCTGGGATGCCTATCCATAGTGTTGTGTTTTGATGTTGAGACACAATCACACTGTGTCCCAGCAAAGCTATACAAGAAGAGGGACTCATTGGAATTTACTTCAACAGTATTTTCCAAAAGTCGCTTGTATATATATTTTCAAACAACACTCAATAAAAGTGAAACTTAAAAAAAATTTTTTTTCTGGACAACCAGGGTCACATTTTCAAAAATAGATGTGCCCTGGTATTCATAGAGCTGAATATCAAATTCAAATGTTCACAGGGTCCACTGGTTAGGTTACAGAAACTACTCCAAGTGTGAAAATCAGAAGAGACTATAGTGAACTGGATAGCACCTGCTCTCTCTAAAGGAGAGAGCTGCTGCTCAATTTCAGCTGGTATTATCATTAAGAAATTTAGCCCAATGTAGTGAGAGCTTTCAATAACATTAAAAAACAACAACCTGGAAAGATGAAGATTTTTATTTTTTAAAAATGTTTAATTTTTTTAAATATTTATAATTAATACTTTGTCCAAGCTGAATGAAACTGGTGCTTTATAGACAGCTATGTGTGATCTTACCACAGAGCTTTATGCTTACTAATTTAATGTATAAGAATAAAGGGAATATTTTATGTCATGCAAAGTCAAATTTATTTTTATCTTATTTCTACCATTGCCATTTTCTCAGTAGATGTCCTGAATCCCTTCAAAGGAAAACCATTCTTGCTTTTAAGATTAATATAATTTAATTCATTCATTTTCTACAGGTAACCATCTATACTCAATGCTAGAAGTCACCTTGAAAGTCATTGTCAACTAGTCCAAAACATTTTTGTTAGAGATGTGATCCCAAGAAAGTCTTAAGAAAACCAACAGAGTGGAATCTTGACTGCTATAATAAAGTTCTAGATGCTGCTAGAATGCATCTATTCCCAGTCCTTTACAAAGGGACAACTTTGTGTACAGTAGAGGTGGGAAAAGAGTAAAAGATAAAACATTCACCTACTGAAATAAGAGCATTTGCCTAGAGATTGTTTACCTAAATGAAAACTCGCTTCCCAGAAGTTGTCATTTGTTGTCAAAAATATGTTGCTTTCTATCGGATCTTTGTCACCTTCCTTGCTTGAGCACAGTCATTCCGGTCTAGAAGAGGCAGGAGAAACAAGTGATCCAAAAGCCCTGGTAGATTCACTAGTCTGTTATTGCTACAGGTGGGATAGGCAGATCCTCTAACAGCACTAGTCCATAATGTTCCTTTTTGTTCCCATGCTACACTTACCTCTGAAGTTGTCCTTCTTCTCTAAGGAAAGAGAATTCAAGTAATCATTTGCCTTAAATGACTCACTGTGCCCATGGAGTTCAAATTCCCCTGCCCCCAGAGCCAAAGTCAAACTCTTATTTAAAAGAGTGATGAATAATCTTCAACTAAGAATCAATGAATACTCTGGAATTTTTCAGTCTGTATTAATTACTCATATGAGTAAAAAGACAGTCATTGCCGTTTTTTTTTTTCCCAAAAAAAGACTTTTCAAAGCATGAAAAATATAAATTTATATCCTACATAGAAAATGGTACTGGCTTTATCCAAAAGGAAAAATACTAGGCTGCTCTTGGATTTAGTTTCCCAGGGAGCAGAAAGAACATTAGGATCAGGCATGTTAAGGAATCTAAGTCTTGCTATGGTCATGTACACCATTAGATAGAAATCATATGAGAATTCCCAGGCCTTTAATGAAAAAGTATATGTAGTGCCAATGATAAAAACTATGGAATATATTTTTGAGTGCCTGGCTATATTTTGGGGGGCCTATTTTGGGTGATTCTAAGACATAGTCAATTTAATGTACTAAAGTCACTCAACTTAAATAAGGTTTATTAAAGTTAAATCCCACACTGCTTTTCTAAAATAAAGCCATATGCATTTTTTCCTATGCTCTGCCAATGAAGATTATATATCTTTCAGTTGTCTTTGTTGTTTTCTTAAGGACATTTCTTTTCATCAGATTAACTATTCTATTTGTGTTCTTCAATTTAATTGCCTAAAGAATCTCTGAGTTTATGACCATAACCCATACCCATAAAGACACGATAAATTTTGAGGATACAATTCATCTTAAATTCACCCTCATCTGTCAGTTTTGGCCTCCAAAAACATTCCAATGAGGAATTACAGAAGAATAAAATAGAAATACATGTTCTTTCCTCCTTTGTAAGCTTATATTTAGAGTCAACTGAAAGGAGGCCAAAAGTTATATTTGCAAGATAATAATGTGTAAGCAAAGATGGTAATAATTAGTGAAGAATGCATATCATAATATATAAAAACAGTTTTCTTCTTTTTAAAGTCCAAGGAGAGGAAAGCCTCTGGTTCATAGCTAACTTTACTCAACCCCTACCAGAGTGAACAGCACTTTTTTTCCCCTTTTTTTCCAAAAGTAATATGATTTGTTTAAAAGTCTCAGTCAACAGGTATTTCCTAAAAATGTTTTCCATAAAGGCTAGAAAATGATTCTCCAGAGAGAAAACTGACCCATTTTACCTTTTTCTTTTTCTTTTTTTCCTCTCTCTCTCTCTTTTTTTTTTCACTTTCCAGGCAAAGGTTTCTATGATCTTGATGCTTTAAATGAAGCTGCTTGGACAAGTGCCCAGAGCCAGTTGGTTCCTTGTAATATTTGCGGGCGGACCTTCCTGCCAGACAGACTGATTGTTCACCAGCGATCTTGTAAAACCAAAGCTGCCAAGTAAAGCTCTCTCACACTACTGAAGTGTTATGGAATTAAATTTTCTTTAAAGAAAGATTGGGAATATAGTGGGGAAAAGGAAAAGGGGGTGAAGAGAAGAGGAGACAGGAAAACCAGCATTGGCCAAGGGATGATCTAGCACTTGAAGCCCAGCCAGATGCTTTGGTGGGTCTAGCAGATGCCCAACATTACATAGAGGGTCTAATTTTAATGGGCAGCTGCAGCTGTTTGTGTACAGAGGTCCCCAGGTTATGAACAAGATTCGTTTTGAAATGTGTCTTTTAGTCAAATTTGTAGGTAAGTTGGTACAAATACATACAGCCGTATTTTAGTGCTGGAAAAGGTGTGAAGACTTTGCAATGATTTAAAAGCTGCCAGTGAAGGTGATTGTGATGAAGAATCTGTTGTGAGTAGGAGTCAATTCAGTCATTTCAAAGTGAGGGCCAATTTATCTAACATTAAAGGCTAAGTATGGGGGGTTGTCCCTAAATCAGATGAGCCTGTACTTTCTGGGGACCAGTTCACATTTTGATCAGACAGAATTATGAGTGGGCTGCTCTTTATCAGAGCTGGCATTTTGTCTAAAGAAAATTTCAGAGCTAATTGTTACCATTTCCTTCCATTTTATTTTCCTGAATTTGAATTTATTATTCAGTAATAGGAGCACGGTGACCTCAAACCATAGCACTGAACTATGAACCATAGGTCCATGGTTTAAGTGTGCCAGCCAACCAGCAGGAGAAAGATGAGGCTTTCTGTTCCTGAGAAGAGTGAATGCCTGGGAAACCCTATGCAGGGTCACAATGAACCCATTCAATGGCACTTACAACAATTATTCTGTAAAAAGAGGTGGGGGGGGGGCTGTGTGGAAGGGAAAGGCTTACTACAGGCAACTTCTTAGTACCAAGAAGAATTGAATTCTTTTGATCTCCGTGCTAGGGAAATTTTAAAAATTGAGTTATTAATTGGGAAGACTCTTTTCTCTATAAGAGCATTCAGATGGAGACATTACAAAACAGGGGGGCTGAGAACTTAAAGTGCTGGAACCACATCTAACTCATATTTTTCTAATAGTAAAAAATGCTACAGAGAAATTTCAGAAGCAGTGCCAGCTTCATGTGTCCGGAGATTGCTGAAATACAATTAATCAAAATGGGTGGAGGCGAGCTCCTTCCTTGTCTAGGAGAAGTCTAATAAGAGTTCTGCATACCCTCATAGGAGTTCATAGGTGTTTTATTGTTGAGGTCCAAAAGACTGCCAGGAAGTTATGTGCCTCCCCACCCAAGGCCCGTGCACAGTAGTGGGTTATGAAACTGCTCTATTTAGAGCCCTTGAATGTACATTCATAGAGGCGGGACTTGTCCTGGAGGAGGCCAGGACCAGAGAAGTACTTTACCTGAGAAAGTCTGCTCCCCCAGGCAGAACTACTGGACTCTCGGCAGTGTTCCTTGAGATTCTTGTTTATTTTAGGGTCGAATTCCAGCTCTACTCTGGATCCATTGAGTTTCTGCAAAACTCACATTCATGACTTTACACAGCACAATCAGCTCCAAATTTACAAGCAAATTAATTTGGCCTAAGATTTTGGTCACATACCACACAGGGTTAGGTTAGGAAAATTGTGTTAATCATTCTGACTTACCTGTCTATTCCAAAGGAAACAAGAGGTGAGCTTTAAAGAAAATTTTAGAGATCCTCAAATAATAAGGTAATCATCTTGTAAAACACATGGGATTCACCGGTGTATAGTTGATTGTTTAATTCTTTATCTTGTTAACAAAAATGTCAAGCACATTTAACAAATATGAAGTATACTCTGGGTTAGGCAATGTGTTAAGCACCTCATACCCACCTTGATTCCAACTCACAGCAACCCTATGGTCTACTTCAGAATTCTACTGGTGGTGGCAGTGGTTATGTGCCGTGGAGTCAGAACCGACTCATAGCGACCCTGTGCAGGGTTTCCGAGGCTGTAAATCTTTATGGGAGCAGAAAGTCTCATCTTTCTCCCACGGAACAGTTGGTAGTTTCGAACTGCTGACATTAAGGTTCGCAGCCCAATTCGTAACCACTAAAGTAGAACTGCTCCAAAGGGTTTCAGAGACTCTCATCTTTACTGGAGCAGGCAGGCGGATCTTTCTCTCCTTCAAGTACTTCACTGTATATAAATCTCATATCACCCTCAAAAGTAGACAACTGTATCTTTATTTTACAAATAAGGAAACCAATGCTTAGGGAAAGAGGATATACTGAGCTGGAGTTAAGGGAAGGAAATTCACGACTGTTGGACTTTCATGCCCAAAGTATAACCCATTGCTCTCTATATACTATATATAATTTTTGAGAAGATTAACTGTACTCATAAAAAAAATCTGACAAATATGAAAATTTCTTGTACAATATTTAGTATCTAAAATAAATAGGATTCCCTCTTTTTCACTCACCTTCTACTTTCCCAAGCATGATGTCCTTCTCCAGGGACTGGCTCCTCCTGATAACATGTTCAAGGTCTGTGAGACAAAGTCTCACCATCCTCAGTTCTAAAAAGTATCTGCCTGTACTTCTTCCAAGATGGATTTGTTCATTCTTCTGGCAGCCTGTAATTCAGAAGCATCAGTTATTCTTCAGTTTTATTTACTGTCTACCTTTTGCATGCATACGAGGTGATTGAAAATATAGTGATTTGGGTCAGACCCATTTTAGTTCTCAAAGTGACATCATTTCTCTTTAACACTTTAAAGAGATCTATTGCTGCAGATTTGCTCCATGCAAATCTCATTAGTATGTCATGCAAGTATTATGCTATTTGGTTTGACTGATGTTTTCATGGGAGATAACTGTGGATCCAAGTAAAATTCTTGAGAACTTAACCTTTTCTTCATTTATTATGTTGTTGCTTATTAGTCTAACTATGAGGACTTTTGTGTGTGTGTGTGTGTGTGTGTGTGTGTGTTTTTAATTAAGGTACAATCCATAATAAGGATGATCTTTATCAGTCAGTAATTCAAATCCTCTTCATTCTTAGCAAGCAAGGGTATGCCATCTGTATATTGCTGGTTGTTCATGAGTCTTCCTCCAATCCTGATGTCAATGTTTATCTCGGACTGAGGTAAACATAAAAGTTTGAACTGCATCATGTGGTTGTTATTGTTGCTGTTGTTAAGTGCCATTGAGTCAGTTATGACTCACAATGACCCTATATCGGGCTTCCAAGAAGTGGCTGATGAGTTTGAACCACAGGTTGGTGGTTCAAACCGACCTTGTGATCCAGTGCTTATTCTACACCGCCATACCTGTGGTTTCAAAAAGCACTTTTGCATTATGCTGATGCTAACAAGTCAAAAGGCAGGAACAATAAAACAAAGGTTGTGATGTTAACTTTAAAATGAGTTGCCCTATGACTGTGTGTGCTAACTCATAGTGACTGACTCATAGTGACCCAGTGTAGGGTTTCCAAGGAGCAAGTGGTGAGTTTGAACTATGACCTTGTGGTTCAAATTGACCCTGAAGTCCTGTGCTTATCCTAAAATACCGCACTAGAACTGTGGGTTATAAAGAGAACTACTTGGGCATTTTACTTGGAAAAGGAGTCAGTGGGGGTGGGAGGATCCCTGGTGGTGTAGTTAGTTACGCATTGTGGGGGCTGTTACCAAAAGGTTGATGGGTCAACCCCACCAGCTACTCCATGGGAGAATCATGAAACTTTCTGCTCCTGCAAAGATATACAAACTCAGAAACCCTAGGGGAAAGTTCAACTCTGCCTTATAAGACTATTGTGTTAGAATTTATTTGATAACAGTAGATTTGGCCTTGGGTTTGGATTGTTGTTAAGTGCCGTTGAGTTGGTTACAATTTATAGGGTTTCCAAGGAGCTCTGGTAGCATAGTGGTTACGAATTGGACTGCTAACCTCAAGGCCAGCAGTTGTTCTGTGGGAGAAAGATGAGGCTTTCTGCTCCCATATAGATTTACAGCCTTGGAAACCCTGTGCAGGGTCACTATGAGCTGGAACCGACTCCACAGTACTTAACAACAACAAGGAGCTGCTGGTGGTTTTGAATTACTAACCTTGTGGTTTTGCTGATCCTACAGCACCACACCTGGGTTTGGATGGAGGGAGGGTGTTGTACAATCAGTTAAACACTCAACTACTAAATGAAAGGTTGGTAGTGTGAATCCATTCAGAAGTGCCACAAAAGACAGACCTGACATTTTACTTGAAAACCCTGTGGAGCACAGTACTACTCAATACACACAGGGCTACCATGAGTCAATATCTACCTGATGGCAACTGGTATGCATGGCAAAAAAAAAAAATATTTGTGTTGAATCATTAGTGACTTTTGCAGTGGCTAAAGATGCCTAACTCTTGTAGGAATCAGCACGTCAACAGACAACTGAATCAGGTTGAGGTACATCAAGGTGCTGACTGGGGAGTCTACCTAGGCCTGTTCTTCAGCCAACCTACACATTTTCCATAGAATTTAATTCAGAGCAAACTCAGCTTAAAGACATCAATTCCAGACTTCCAGACCATTATCAAGATAAGTCATCAAAGTCTCACCATTAATAGGAAAGAGCCCACCTGCTCCTCTCTAACTGCCTTCCCCTTAATTAGTCCCCATCTGTGCAGATATTTGTACCTTCAAGAGAAAATAATTTCTTTGGTAATATTGGCACCTCCATGAACTATGAATTTACTTGACATGATTCCTGGAGATACTCTCCCAAAGATGAAGAATACATATTAGATGGAGATACTTAGAACATATATACTCATTCAGGCAACTCCCTCACTATCCTGTTAACAGGTGCTGCACAGACTTTAATTGAATTAGCCTCTAGTTTAGGTTATGGGAAGAATTCTAGTATTTCTTGGTGATCATTTGTACATTGAATTCATGTTAAAGTTGGAAGACATGCCCCATCAGAAGGGACCACAGGATACTAAATGGCCAATGAGCATGGAAAGGAGGGAGAATCTCCTACTGTAAGTAAGCACAAA